CGTCGAATTCAACATTCTCTTCATCAGCCTCGCCGCTCGATCCTTTGGAAGGCAGACGGAAAGGCACTTGGAGTTTGCTGATATCTCGGAGGTCGGAGTCCATAGGGACAAATAAATTGTTGAGAGATATAGTCCAGCCGAGGTAGAAGCCTCGGTTACAGGCTTGGTTGACTTGTTCTTTGTACGCATCACGGACGGCAGCTTGCCCCTTTGAGAATGCTTTCTCGTCGGTCGCCTTGATCTTGGCCTCCTTCGTAGCCAGTGCCTCTTGGAGCTCTGCCTTGACCTCAGTAGTTTTGGCCTCAGCGTCCTTGATCTCGAATTTTAGTACTTCAGCTATAGCCTCTGTCGCCTCAGCTTTTTCCTTGGCCTAGTCTTAGGATCGTTTGGCTGCCTTGGCCTGATCCAACAAAACCGTGATCTTGGTCTTGGCGTTGTTTAGAGAGGAAAGGAAGCCAGCAACTTCCTTGGTTTTTTGCACCAACTCTTCTTTGAAAGCCTCGGCTTTCGTGGAGGAAGAATGGGCATACTGGATGGCCTAGAAAGAGAGAAACAAACAAGTTAGTATGAAGAACTTAAAAAACAAACCAAAAAGTACCAAGTGTTGGGAACTTACCAAGATGGAATGCTGCATCATCAGAGCAAAATTTTTATATTCATTGATCGCGGCCATACGATTGAGATCAGTTGGAAGGAGCACAGCTGTGGAGAGAGCGGTGCTGACCTCAATACTGTCAATGGCGCTGTCACCGGCCTTCATTGGCTTATCACCAATCATGATTGCAAGGGCCCAAGGCTCATCGGCTTTGAAAGCACTTGGGCTTGCGGCGATTTTTGACCCCGGCTTCTTCGATCGAGCGGCATCGGATGGTTCGGCCTCGGCAGGCCTCTTCTCGGCATTGGAGGCACTTTTCTCAACCTCTGCCAATCTCAAGATCAACACGGTGTCTTCAGTGTCAATTTGAGAAGCGGCAGTTTTTGCCTTGGCACGCTTCACCATTTTTGTCTTAGGCTTGAGTTGGGACTCTAATGGGGAAGAGGTGACAGTAACCACTCCTGGCAAGTCGGCCAGGAGGTCTTCCACAACAGCTTTTCGGCCCACATCGTCGGCGGTTGCAGCAAAGGTAACTTTGGTGCCAAAGTGAATTGCTGGAAATGCAATGGGTGGGTTTGCTGGATCGTAAGCCGACGCCTCAAAGTCTTAACATTTGCGGCTACGAGTTCTGCTTGCTGGTACATTTGCTAGGGCACGACGACGGCGTCGACGCTGGGATATTGGGATAAGTTTGGGGGGCAGAGGTTGACGGCAACTCAACTGGATCAGAAGAGAAAGCCTGATCAGCTCTTAGTGAAGAAGTGACTGGAGGGGTTGAGGCAGACGATGGAGTTTGACTTCTTCGAAGGATGTCAGGCAAAGCCGATTTGTATATTGGTGTGTAATTCAACAGAAGAGGGGCCTTGCATCTTTGCACAGGGAGATCCAAGAGCTTCTTTAGATCTCAGCTGGGGACGTATGATTGCTGAAATCCCTTGGCTGGCTAAGAAAGAACTGCAAAAAATAAAGAGAAAACATTAGTAAAGATAAATGAGTTGGCAAGCCTTAACCAAAATGCAATTACAGTATGATGACTAAGTCTTACCATCACTCTTTTTAAAAACTGCTCGACACAGAGGATAGAGATGAAGATCGTCATTAGGAGCAAACTCTCAGTTGCCTCGAGATGATGAAGTAATCATCTCCAGTAGTTGGAGTCTGGGAGGTCGGCTATTAGTTTGAAGGCGGTCGATCTGAGCTTAAAGTAGTATATGTAGCCTTTTTCATACTTAAGGCCACACATGGTATAGCAGAATTGGATATCGGCTAATGTGATCCTAGCCTTCTCTTGGTGTGCTAGTTTGATTATGCCATTGATAACCCTATATGAGTTTATGGCAAGCTGCATGGGGTTGAGTTTGTAATTGTAAAGGATTTCTCGGAAAAGAGTATCTAGGGGAAACCAAAGTCTGCATTCAATGAATACAACAGCAATGAAGGGCATGGGGTCTCCATCAGGTATGATAGAGTCCTCCTCCCCAGCTAACCTTAAATGGACGTCATCTGGGATAAAGAACTCCTGCCTAAAATGCTCTAGTTTTTCTGGGGTGTCTACCCTCCACCTAAACATACCCATTATCTCGGCAAGAAGGGGTTGGGCGATAGAATGATTGATATAGGTTTAAAAACCTCGGCTAAAACTTAAATAGGCATTGGTGCAAGGGTTTTTGAAGATCTAAAGGGAATTCATTTCAATTTTCCTAAGGAACAAGGTTCTAAAGCAAATCCCAAATCTAGGAACTACAAAAACAGGAATTGAAGGCAAAAATCTGGAAATACAACAAGAAAAGCAGAAAAAGAGCATGATTTAGAAATCAAGAAAGAAACCGAGATTCAAGAACAAAGAAAATCATAAATTCTCGGAACAATAAGTGAGTGAGTGTGTGCAAAGCAATGTGCAAAAACTAGAAGCAATACACACACTCTCAAATTCAGGAACAGATTATGTTACATCAAACAGATTCAAGAAACAAGAAATGATGACCAAAGCACGAAGATAAAAATAGAGAACAACTACAAATGCATATACAAATTCCACAAAAATAGGTGTGAAGTGAAACGTATAGCACAATTCAAAAGGAAGTCGTATGGAAGAGCATGGCCAAGAATAGTAAACAACAGTGGAGAATTAAAGTTAAAATAAAAAGGAATCGAAGGACTTGCAGATTAAAGCCGAAGTGAGGTACTCCGGAGTCAAATGAGCTAAATGATCAAATTCAAATGAGTAGTGTGCCGGCGGTAATGAAAAATGCAGTTGCAGAGAGCTTGTGAACGTAACAATGGAAGATTTGGAAATGTTAGAGAGAGAGAGAGTCTGAGAGACAAGGGAAAATTGTGAATTGCAAAAGTGAAAAGACGGAGAAAGAATGAAGAGTTTTGTAAAAAACACGAAAAGGCGGCAAACCATAATGAAATTCTTTGGACGACGTGTTTGTCAGGTGGCACATGCAGAAACAACGTAACCTGATAGCTCATGTCAGGTATGAACCAATGAGAAAGGGACGTGTGGTGGAAACGGTTGAGAAAACCGTATGTGACAGCTCATGCGCAGATAAAACTCTTGGAGTTTTTGATTTAATGAATCGAAAACCTCGGCTAGGGGAACGATCTAGGTTAAGGAACTCAAGGAACTTGGTTCTTGGTCATTGATAGAGATGGACAGTTGAGTCCTGAGTACTTGAAACCGACGAGTCATGATCTCGATCGAAGGAAAGAATGAATTTTAGTCGACGTTCTATAGGAAGAAACTATGTATGTTCCATCACCTCAGGTTGCCGAGGTAATAGAACCTAGGAGGCAGTTGTGGGGACATATTTCGTGAATGACAGCACGTGGCCAAGGTGACACCGGAGTGTCAGCTGAGGTGCCACGTGGCCTAGTCCTGATACCGAGGTAATCTGGGCTAGGCCGAGGTTATTTGCAGAGATACTGGAATCCGAGATGAGCAGATAAGGGACAAAAGTCCTAAAACAGGAGAGGATCTCAATCTGGATAAAGATAAGGCTCAGGAAGAGTTTATCTCTATCTAGATGAAGGACCAGGATGAGCGTTGAGCTTGAGTCCACTGAAGTAAGGCTTCTATAAGGATCAAGTTAGTGTTGGCTATAAAAACAGGGCACCTCCGTGAGTCTGAGGTATGTGGGAGATACTGAGAACCATAAGTTCTCTCTTGTGAGTTTAAGCACAATTTGCAATCTTTAAAAGATATTGATTACTGCCTTGATCGTCGAAGTGCCCCTGAGTGGACGAACCACCCCCGGATTCTTATCTTTCTATGACAGGTTATTCGGGCTTAATCTATTCTGCCGATGCTCTTCGGCTGAGTTCCCTGTTTGATTGTGTGGTCAGAAATAAACACCCACACTAATTATTGAAGAGAACATAGTGAACGTTATTAGTGCATATGTCCCATAAATAGGATTAGATGATCAGACTAAGAGAGATTTTTGAAACTAAATGGATGAGGTAGCGCATATCCGTAACATCTCATTACAAATTGCTTGTCCCAAGTTAACGGCAAATTTTTTGTTTCTATAACATGAATTTTTTTTTTCTTTTTTCTTATAGACAATGAATTTCAAACCTTGAAATTGTTTTCAAATTTATGAATAATTTTTTTTTTATTTGTATAGTACTACTTAATTTTGAAATTGTTTTCAAATTTATGAATAATTTTTTTTTATTTGTATAGTACTACTTAATTTTTTCTAAATGGTATGAAAAATCTATGTAATTATGACTGGATACTAATATTTCATCAAACAGTCGAGCACAGATCTTCTTAGTGCATTTATTTAGCTATGTGCTTATGTTTTGAGATTTCTGTGCTACTAAATTCTCACAAATTCTACTTTTATATTTGTTATCAACTAATATATATATATATATATATATATATATATATATATATATTTTATGTGTTTCTCCGCACCATAGTAACTTTCAAATTTCAATCACTTCTTAACTTCTGTATGAACAACTTTACATTCATGCACATTACAATCCCAAAGAAAAGTCACCAATAGAAGAAAAAAAAGCTTCCAATTTGATTCACAATAATGTCACACAACAAGTGTTAACTTTTTATTTGTGACACATTAATTATATAGGACCCAAATCTCTTACTACATTATTAGTAATGAATGAATTTACACACTTTTTTTTTCCCCTTTTTCTTGACGTTTTTCACGGTGTGGGTTGCTTAGGTCCCATGCACATCAAACGTTATTTGTTGAAAATTTTAAGGCCTCCTTTGGGAATAATTTTTTAGTAATTTTTTAATTTTTTGACTAAAATATGAGATTTGAAATCTTTAAAAACAATTTTCTGAATTTTCAATTCATATTTTTATATTTTTAATGATTTTTTTTAAAAAAAAAATTAACTTTTTAGATCCACTTTATCTTGGTATAGTTAAAAAGTATAAAATTTGTACAAATTTTTTTTTAAATATTTATTGAATATGACATAACACGAAAATGTACTCAATTTTCATATTTTTTGTACTTGGCAAAAAAAATTTTAAAAAAAAGGGAAAATTGGTCTAGGGTCCCTCTCCCACTTTTCGTAAGGGAAGAGATCCACAAAATTATTTTTTGATGTCTAAGGTCCTCCCATCTATCACAGAGAAATTCAGGCCCCTTCCTTTTGTCTACTCTCACTCGTCACCACGATCAAACACGCACAGAGAGAGAGAGAGAGAGCCATGTCGCCGGAAGATGTGTCGGTGAAGAGGTTTAGGGAGGTTCTCGCGGAGCTTGATCGACGGAGAGAAGCTCCACGGCACAATCACAGTCACCGACGGACAAAGTTCTCAATCCATCTACAACCGAGATTGGGAAAATTTGCAAGGAATTGAATGTTCAGCTACACACAGATGCTACGCAGGTTTTGGGGAAGATTGCAATCTCTCTCTCTCTCTTTCTATATATATATATATATATATCTTCATCCTCAATCTCCATCTTCCTCTATTAACTGGTTCATTTCATATCTTGAATAGTTCTTCATCAAGCTCAATTACTATACTTCCCATTTTGAAGAACTTTACCAGCAAATGCTTGCAAAGGCTTTATATTCATGATGTTTATCTGAAATATATATTCATGAATTAAAAAGGTTGACTGAAATATATATTCATGATTAGGAAATTTCAGATAAAAAGCAACGAAAATGATTTTGACAAAATCTAGGACTATTTTAAATCCAGACAGAAATTAATAATAAGAGTTTTAACTTATATCCGAGTAATTAATATTCCACTACCTTATTGTGTACTGTAGTATGGGACGTCAGTCAAATTTATTACTAGAAACATCATGAATATATATTTTTTTGTGGTCTTAACCTTTTTATTTGAAATATATATTCATAATCCACAAAAAGGCTTTATATTCATGAATATATGTTTTTTTGTGGTCTCAATCTTTTTGTGGTCTCCCATTTTGAAGCCAAGTTGCTGTTGTTGGACGTAACTGACTTTTTACTAAAGGTGGGTGCCAGGACACAAATATCAATCACCCTCTTTGTGATTTGATATATAATGAACAATGCCAAAACCCTCACCTTGGTGTTCTTTCCTACCATGAGGATCCAAGAAGTGGTCTGTATCTGCTGCTAGGGAGGGTGACCTGGAGTAGCTCTCCAATATATCTGAATGGAAAGCAAAAAAAAGCATGAAAAAAAAAATACCAAGAACATTTCTGAGGTTCATAAGTTCATTGACTCAAGTCAGTTGCAATAAAACCAATAACCTGTTGGCAGAATGGTATGAAGTTGGTCTAAATATACTTAAGTTCATAAAACAACGAGTTTAAGTAGTGGAAAAGGATTCAAAGGATTAGAGATTCTTCCCCGAAGAAGAACAATAGGGCAAATGTGTATAAAAGTGCAGTGTATTGAATCAACTCCTACATCTACTCAATCTATTACATAGAACTTGGCCTGAACAATCTCTCATTAAATCATGAGAGAGAGAGAGAGAGAGAGAGAGAGAGAGAGCCAACCCATTTTCTTTGTAGAGAATTTCTGTCCAGAGAAATTCTCTGAGATTTTGGTCACTGTGTAAATTTTCTCTGAGAAATTCTCTGGGAGGTTCTAGAGAAATTCTTTCTCAGAATTTCTCTAGACAAAATTTCTCTGGACAGAAAATTCTCTGGTCATATTTGTCACTTACCAAAGTGCTCTGGTGGTATGAAGCTTTTAAAAAATTGCATAATTTAAAACACTTTTTGTCTATTGAATTGGTGGCTTGCTGTTGTTTTTTCTGGTTTTCTACGTACTAATGTCATGTATATTTGCTATAGGCAAGGGTGAGTCCTAGTGTTGTGGTCTATGCTCAACTTTCAAAGCTTGATGGGGTTCTGGGAAGGTTCCATGCCTTACACTGCTTGGAAATGTTTAGGGTGGCAAAATGGTTTTTCCACTGGTATGTATTAATGTGTTTCATGAAATTTCATATTGAATGTTCTGAGCTATGATATTGTTGCAGAAAATGTGTCGGTGGAAGCATATGGAAGGGAGAGAAATTTGAAATTTCTCTGGAGAGTCCATGAAAGGCCAAGGAGGCCAGAGAAATTTTAAATTTCTCTGGAGAGGTAATTTTGTGGGAAGGCCAGTGAAGTCAGAGAAATTTTCAAATTTCTCTGGAGTGTTGAGTCCAGGAGGGCAGAGAAATTTACAGTGGGAGGTTTAGGGAAGGTCAGCTGAGGCTTGAAAACGTTTCTGGAAAGTACTTGGCAGACTGCAACGAAGCTTCAACATCCAAATTGGGATCCAACTGTGCCGAAGCTGCAAGGTTGTGGTCTGTCTTGGAGCTCATGCCCCAAGAATTTCTCAAATTTCTCTGGATTCAACTCAGAGAAATTTGAATTTTCTTTGGATTCAACCTAGAGAAAATTCAAATTTCTCTGGGTTCATTTTGGCCGGTTTCTTTCGAGGCGAGCAAGGGGGTCCAACTCTAAATTGCCTCTTGTTGATCCAACTCTACCGAGGCTGCAAGGTTGTTGTCTATTATACATATAAAAATTAGGCTAGAGTGGCAATTTTTCTGATTACTCTCTCTCTCATGCTGTTGCTTGGTATATCTAACATGAAATTTTTGGTTTTTCAGGTGATGTTGAAGCTTCTTTGAGTTGGTGTCCCAGTGTTTTTTGAATTCATTGATCTTCTTTTCAATTGTTTAGGCTTGATTTTCTTGGCTGGTTTTGTTTTTTAATTTCTTCTTCATTCATCCGTGAATTAATAGTTGTAAATGCTATCGACACCGCCAATCTATAAATATAACTATCCTTTCTTGTTGCAGTACACAAAACATAAAGGTCAGAACGTTGAGTTCACATGTTTCATTGAGTTTTCACAGGTTTGATCGTGTCTAAGATGAAAATATTGCACTGAAGAGAGGAAGAGAATTTCTCTGGATTGAATTTTCTCTGGATTGAATTTTCTCTGGACTGAAATTTCTCTGGATTGATGTTGAGGGACCTTAGACATCATGAAAATAGTTGATGTCCTTTATACTATAAAATCATAATATCAAGGACCTTAAAAAAAATACCCCTAAAAAAAATTACATATATTATATTTTTTAAGTATATCAAGATTAGGTTTATCCAAAAAATAAACAAATTCCATAAAAGATTAAAAAATTCACTAAAAGTCAAAAAAATATGAACAAAAAAAACTTAATTTTATTAAAAGTTAATTAAACCAAACAAATATGTTTGGAATGACTATTTTATTTGTTGTAAAAAGTAGATTGAATGAAAAGAAATTTTTAACGTTTTAATATTTTTAAATATTTTTTAAGTTTTAAATTAAAATTGTAACTTGCAACCAGGTCCAAGTCTTTCTCATTGGGCGTGTAGAAACGGTCCAGGTAGGGCCCGTGAGACAAAAAAATTCAATTTTTTTTTTTTTTTTTTTTTTTTTTTTTTTTTTTTTTTTTTTTTTTGTTTTTTTTTTGGTTTTTTATAAATTAAAAATAAAATAGTTTTGATATATTTTTGCTTTTATGTTTTCATTTTGATTTAAATCACTTTTCAAAAAATTAAGTTTTGTATTTTTTTATTTTTACTGAATTTTTGAATATTTTATACAATTTTTTTTATTTTTTAGATACACTTAACCTAGATATACTTAAAAAATATATATTTGTGATTTTTTTTAAAAAAAATCACCAAATTCAAAAATACAAAAAACAAAAAACAAAAAACAAAAAACAAAAACAAACAAAACAAAACAAAAAAAATTTACATTTTAATATTTTGTTATATTCAATGAATTTTTTAGAAATTTTTGTTTAATTTTTTTTATTTTTTAAGTACATTAAGATTAAGTGGATTTAAAAAAAAATTAATTAAAATATTTTTAAATTTTATTAAAATTATTAAAAAAATTAAAAACTCAAAAAAATATTTTTAAAAACTCCAAATTAAATTTTCAAAATAAATTTTTTATCTTTCCTCCCTTGACAACCTTCAATCACCACCCACCACCATCGACTACTAGCCACTGGTCATCGGTGGACTAATCTCGAACGACATTTTGGCATGATTTGATGACCTGTTGATGAATCTAATCCTTTGATCACGTCATGAGTTTTGAACACTACCACACCACCACTACCATACACCATATTGAAAACGGTAGTGAATGATTTGATAATTCCCAAATTTATCAAGTTTAAGAAAATGACGCCAGGCCTCCAATGATATCAAGTCTTCGTTTGAGATGTGGGTTGGTCTTTTAACTTTTTGGCTATAGGTTAAAAAGTCTCGTTTGGGATAGACTTTTTAGTTTTTTTGACGTCACTAAGAGAAAAAATAAAATGATTATGGTTTGAATGTGATATTTTGTCTTATTGACTTTTTAATCTATTTTATCTTTTTATGACTAAAATAATAAATAAAAAAAAACCAGTCAAACATAGCCCAAGTCCGCAGCATCTAATTACAAATTTCTTGCCCCATGTTCACGGCAAATTTTTTGTTTCTATAACATGAATTTTTTTTTTTCTTTTTTCTTATAGACAATGAATTTCGAATCCTGAAATTGTTTTCAAATTTATGAATTATTTTTTTTATTTGTATGGTACTAACTTAATTTTTTCTCAATGGTATGAAAAATCAATATAATTATAATTGGATACAAATATTTCATCAAACAGTCGAGCACGAGATCTCCTTAGCACATATTTTTAGCTATGTGCTTATGTTTTGAGATTTTTGTGCTGCTAAATTCTTACAAATTCTACTTTTATATTTTTTATCAACTAATATATATATATAACTTAATTTATGTGTTTGTCCGCACCACAGTAACTTTCAAATATCAATCATTTCTTAACTTTTGTATGATCAAATTTACTTTCATGCACATTATAATCCCAGATAAACGTCACCAATAGAAGAAAAAAAGTTTCCAATTTGATTTATAATAATGTTACACAAGTGTTAACTTTTTATTTGTTACACATTAATTATATAGAACCCAAATCTCTTATTACATTATTAGTAATTAATGAATTTGCAAATCTAAAATAGTTTTTTTTTTTTCTTTTTTCTTCACGTTTTTCATGGTGTGGGTTGCTTAGGTCCCATGCACATCAAACCTTATTTGTTGAAAATTCTAAAGCCCCCTTTGGGAATAATTTTTTAGTGTTTTTTTAATTTTTAGGCTAAAATATGGTATTTTAAATTTTTAAAAACAATTTTTTGAATTTTCAATTCATATTTTCATATTTTTAATGATTTTTTAAAATATTTTAATTAATTTTTTTTATACTTTTTAGATCCACTTTATCTTGGTATAGTTAAAAAGTATAAAATTTGTACAATTTTTTTTTTAAATACTTATTGAATATAATAGAATACGAAAATGTACTAAATTTTCATAATTTTTGTATTTGGTGAATTTTATAAAAAAAAATACATATATTATATCTTTTAACTGTATCAAGATTAGGTGTATCTAAAAAATAAACAAATTGCGTAAAAGATTAAAAAATTCACTAAAAGCAAAATATATATATATATATATATATATGAAGAAAAATAAAACACTTAATTTTCTTAAAAGTGAATTAAACCAAACGATATGTTTGGAATAACTTTTTGATTTGTTGCAAAGAGTAGAGTGAATGAAAAGTAATATTTAACTTTTTAATATTTTTAAATATTTTTTAATTTTTAGACTAAAATTGTAACTTGCAACGGTGTCCAAGTCTTCTCATTTGGCATGTGGAAAGTAGGGGTGCAACTCGGGCAGGTTGGCTCGGGTTGGCTCAGGTTGGAGGTTACCCAGGCTCGGCTCAAATTGTGTTTGAAAGTGCCCAAGCCTGACCATCAACCTGAGTTTGGCTGCCCAAGTCCGGATTGAGCTACATAATTTGAACTCGGGTTAGCCGAATTGTCCGAATTTCCCAATTGAATAGATAAATAACAAAAAAATAAAAAAATTCATACAGGAGTGATTCAATAACAATCAAGTACTAAATAAAAAAGAAAAATAATTTATCTTTATCACACCCAAATAGAATTAAATCATATAAAAAAGGAAATTTCTAAACAATTCATTAAAAAATTAAATCATACCTACATTAAAATTTGCCTAAACTATCTGCAAGTAAACCATTACTTCAATAAAAATGATCTTTTTTATAGTTTCTACCTTTCAATGAATTTTTTAGAATTTTTTGTATATTTTTATTTTTATTTTTTAAGTATATTAAAATTAAATGGATCTAAAAAATTAAAAATTAATTAAAATATTTTAAAATTTTATTAAAATTATTAAAAATATGAATTAAAAACTCAAAAAATTATTTTTAAAAATTCCAAATTAAATTTTCAAAATAAATTTTCAAAATAAATTTTTTATCTTTCCTCCCTTAACAACCTTCAGTAACCACTAGCCACTAGCAATCGGTGGACTAACCTCCAACAATATTTTGGCATGATTTGATGACCTGTCAATGACTCTAACCCTTCGATCACGTCACCACGCCACCACTACCATCCACCACTACCATCCACCTTATCGAAAAGGATAGTGAATGATTTGTCAATTCCTTAATTTATCAAGTTTGAGAAAATGACCCCACGCCCCCAATGATATCAAGATATCAAGTCCGCAGCATCTAATTACAAATTTCTTGCCCCAAGTTCACGGAAATTTTTTTGTTTTTATAACATGAATTTTTATTATTTTTTATAGACAATGAATTTCGAACCCTGAAATTGTTTTCAAATTTATGAATTGTTATTTTTTATTTATATAGCACTACTCAATTTTTTCTAAATGGTATGAAAAATCAATATAATTATAATTGGATACAAATATTTCATCAAACAGTCGAGCACGAGATCTTCTTGGTGCATTTTTTTTGCTATGTGCTTATGTATCGAGATTTATGCGTTATGACCCAAACCTAGTACTCGGAGGTTCGGCATCGCGACAAGATAATAACTGAAATCATAACAAATTATTAGTTCAATACCCGAGTTGTTCTATGACTACAAAGTGCCTTGTGCCTATCCCATGTACTGGTTTTGACGTATCACCTGAAAGTAGTTAACAGTTATAAGCACATGGCAGAGTAAGAAATATTACACAGTGAGCATGAGGGTACAAAAATTACCATGGATAATAATTTCAACTAAAACATTAACATTACTTAATTTGAATAAATAAATTATTCAATGTGACAGAAACTGAAATACATAAATTATGTAAATAAATAACCATAACCATAGTACAAAACAGAACAGAACGGAGGTCACTGGAGTGACAATCAGAACAAAGGTTAATGGATCCATGACAAACAGAGGACCACAAAGTGACCAATGGTTATTTAAGTCCCCCAAGGCATGGGACTCCCCATGGTGGTACTTACAGAAAATAATTGTTTCCAAAATCATTGTCAAATAATTTTTAAAATTTAAATAAACATATCCATGGGTTTCAACATAAGCAAATGAACTTCAAAAAATAATTAACGTAATTGAAATATAAATATAAGTTATAAAGCATAATTTGTATAAAATAAATTATGGTAATTCAAAATATATATAAAATATATTATGGTGACTCAAGATATAATATAACTCATCTTAATATTAATCTTTATTATTTTCTTTCTATGCTGACTTTACGACGCCCTTTTTCCTTAATCTTTTTTTCTTGTGAATTCCCTTTTGTTTTTGTTGGCCTTCGATTCACCCCCGTATATACTTGAGTTTTTTACATGGTGACTTACCCCTTATTTATTATCCTCCTGCCTGATTCACTCATCTACATAATGGCCCTGTTTCGTAGGGTTTATTTTCAACTTATTTTAGTTTTTAACTTAATTTAAACTATTTTGATGTGTTTAGTTCAGTTTAATAATACAACTTATAACTTTTTGTAAGTCAAAAATCAATTTATTCTTTAAGTGGGGAAGGAGAAGCTTAATTTATAAGTCAAAAATCAGCTTATGTTTACAGTTATAAGTTATAAACTGTTAGATTATAAGTTATAATTACTTTCCCACAGCTCTACCAAACGGGCCAATAGAATTCACTCATTTACACAATAGGCTTAACAGGTGGCTTTTTCTTTAGGTGCCCAACGCATAGACACCTGTCACCATATTTCTTTTTTGGCCCCAACTTTTATCATAATTTTGTAATTGTGTTGTTTTGGCCCCAAATAATTATATTAATCATACTTTGAGGAAACTAATGCGGAATTAGATTACACCTTAGCATGAATAGCTACGTAATTATTTATATTATATTATTCTTATTATTAAATATTTGCACAATAACTCCTAATGTAAATTAAATTTCACTTTATCGCATATCATCATAAAATTAATATTTATTTTACTATTACAGTCTATTATTATTATTCTCATTAATAATAATATTTAATTAAACTCTCTTATGGTCCGATACTTGAAATTAAAATAATTCAATTAGTCAATTTTACCTTATTGAGAATTCCACAATTAAATTAGAATAAGAATTAAGTAAATGTAATATTATACGTGACGGGATCGTCACATTATGTGCCGCTAAATTTTATATATATATAATTTAATTTATGTGTTTCTCCGCACTACAGTAACTTTCAAATTTCAATCACTTCTTAACTTCTATGTGAACAAATTTATACTCACGCACATTATAATCACAAATAAACGTCACCAATAGAAGAAGAAAAAGTTGCCAATTTGATTTACAATAATGTTACACAACAGATGTTAACTTTTTATTTACAATAATGTTACACAACAGATGTTAACTTTTTATTTGTCACACATTAATTATATAGGATCCAAATCTCGTACTACATTATTAATAATGAATGAATTTGCAAATCTAAAATAGGTTTTTTTTTTTTTTTTTCCTTCTTTTATCTTCACATTTTTCACGGTGTGGATTGCTTATGTCCCACGCATATCAAATGTTATTTGTTGAAAATTCTATGGCTGCCTTTGGGAATAATTTTTTAGTGATTTTTTAGTTTTTTTGGCTAAAATATGAGATTTGAAATTTTTAAAAACAATTTTTTGAATTTTCAATTCATATTTTTATATTTTTAATATTTTTAAAAATATTTTAATTAAATTTTTTTTGTCCTTTTTAGATCCACTTTATCCTGGTATAGTTAAAAAGTATAAAATTTGTACAAAATTTTTAAAATATTTATTGAATATAACAGAATAAGAAATGTACTAAATTTTTATATTTTTTGTATTTGGAGAATTTTTTTGAAAAAAAAAATTATATATATATATATATATATATATTTAAGTATATCAAGATTAAGTGTATCTAAAAAATAAACAAATTGCATAAAAGATTAAAAAAATACTAAAAGCAAAAAATATATATATGAAAAGCAAAAAACTTAATTTTCTTAAAAGTGAATTAAACCAAACAATATGTTTGGAATAGCTTTTTTTTTATTTGTTGCAAAAAACAAAGTGAATTAAACCAAACAATATGTTTGGAATAGCTTTTTTTTTATTTGTTGCAAAAAACAAAGTGAATTAAAAGAAATTTTTAACTTTTTAATATTTATTGACTTTTTAATACTTTTAAATATTTTTTAACTTTTAAACTAAAATTGTAACTTACAACGAGGTCCAAGTCTTCTCATTCAGCATGTGGAAACGGTACAACAGGTAAAGACTTCGACATAGGCAAAAACACATTTTTGGCCATTCTTTGGCTTGTTTAGTGACCATTTTATTTTTAATTTTCAGTTTATATTTATAAAAATTTTAAAAATTATTATAAAAATTTGTTTGATAATTTTTTTTATTTTATAAATGTTTGTCTCAGTTTATAAATTTGAAAAAAAAAACATAAATTCAAAAAATGAGTTTACGTCGGTTTTTAAATAGAAATTTAAAAATTTGACTAATAAATTTTTGTTTTTCAATTATCGTTTTTTTTCAATTAATTTTTTTTCAATTAATTTTTTTTTCAATTAATTTTTTTTCAACTAATTTTTTTTCAAATAATGTTTTTTTTCAATTTTTTATTCAATTAATTTTTTTCAATTATTTTTTCCCAATTAATTTTTTCCCAAATAATTTTTTTTTTCAATTATAATGCGTTCATTGTCATAAATAATAATAAAATAAATTTAAATATTTTAGGCCTGAACAAACATATTTTTTATTTTATGTTTTTAAAAATTTTTAAACATTTGTTCAAACCAAACGCGTTTGTAGTTTATATTTTTCTAAAAATAAACAAAAATGAGTTTATAAAATTTTTATAAACCTAAACCAAAAACGTAAACGTTACCAAACGCTAATACTTCTGTTTTTGTTTTTTTTATTTTATAAATTAAAAATAAAATTGTTATGATATATTTTTGTTTTTATGTTTTCATTTTGATTTACATCACTTTTCAAAAAATTGAGTTTTTTATTTTTTTTTTTAGTGAATTTTTCTAATATTTTAGACAATTTTTTTTATTTTTTAGATGCGCTTAATCTAAATATACTTTAAAATATATATATTTGTGAATTTTGTTTTAAAAAAAATTCACCAAATACAAAATTACAAAAAAAATAAAATAAAACAAAACAAAACAAAACAAAATTTAGTACATTTTTAATTTTTGTTATATTCAATGAATTTTTTAAAAAATTTTGCATAATATTTTTTTTTTAAGTATATTAAGATTCAGTGGATCTAAAAAATTAAAATAATAATAATTAAAATATTTTAAAATTTTATTAAAATTATGAAAAATTCCAAAAAAAAAATATTTTTCAAAACCCCAAAATAAATTTTCTATTTTTCCTTCCTTGACAACCTTCAATCACCACCCTCCACCATCGACTACTAGCCGCTAGTCATCGGTGGACTAACCTCGAATGACATTTTGGCATGATTTGAGGACCTATTAACGACTCTAACCCTTCAATCACGTCATAAGTTTTGTCCATCACCATACCACCACGACCATCCACCGTATCAAAAATGGTAGTGAATGATTTGTCACTTCCCTAATTTATCAAGTTTGAGAAAATGACCACAGGCCCCCAATGATCTCAAGTTCAGCATCTAATTACAAATTGCTTGCCCCAAGTTCACGGCAAATTTTTTGTTTCTATAAAATGAATTTTTTTTAATTTTTTTTTATAGACAATGAATTTCGAACCCTGAAATTGTTTTCAAATTTATGAATTATTATTTTTATTTATATAGTACTACTCAATTTTTTCTAAATGGTATGAAAAATTAATATAATTATAAGGGCTAGGATTCCCTCTAATCTAACGAACTAGAGGGTACAGTTGGGCCCGTGAGGGCCCACCACAGGTTCCGTTTCGATAATCCGAACCGTTCAATCTGTAAACTTGTCGAGTACTGTATATTGGCAAAAACCATGTTGATCGGATATCGATAGTTATCTCATCGGATCAGATTTCTGTCAACTGTTTATTTGTTCACCATTCATTTTTTTATACAAAATTGATTTGATCATGTAACTATCGATATCCGATCAACGTGATTTTTAACAGGTATATAGTACTCGACAAGTTCTACAAGATTATCGAAATGAGACCCATGGTAGACCCTTACAAGCCCAACAGTACCCTTCAGTCCAATCACAAACTGGAGGGAAGCCAACCCCTAATTATAATTGGATACAAATATTTCATCAAATAGTCAAGCACGAGATCTTCTTAGTGCATTTTAGTGCATTTTTTTAGCTATGTGCTTATGTTTTGAGATTTCTGTGCTGCTAAATTCTCACAAATTCTACTTTTATATTTTTTTATCAACTAATATATATATATATATATATGTATATATAATTTGTGTTTCTCTGCACAAATTTCAATCACTTCTTAATTTCTGTGTAAACAAATTTACACTCATGCATATTATAATCCCCAATAAACATCACCAATAGAAGAAATTATTCGATGGTCCTAAGGCATTATCATGTAGTGTTCTAAAAAAATTGTAACTGGTGAAAAAGATGGAATTTATAATTTTGTACTAGGATATGAAGAAACAAGGAGGCATGAAAAATAGTGATCGGCTACTAGCCAAGAATAAGCGATGTCCCTAAAGCACTTAATAATTTTTCACCGATGGGGTTCACTACTACTTTCTAGTGTTTGATTATAATTTTCATTTTTACAAGTACGTAATATAAATAGAAAAAATAAAATTATCATCTCTTCTACATTCAAATGAAGTCACAAATATTTTTTAGAAGTTATTGATAAACAAAAAATTTGTACAAATTATATACCAAAATAATGTAGTAGTGATAACCTTAAAATATACGTCACATTAATAGCCATTTGTTTATATAGTGATAGAACCTAAAGCATGCCAATTTTTTTTCTTTTTCTTTTTCTTTTTTGTATACGTCTAATTTTTATTTTATTTTTTATTGGTACAAAAAATCAATACAAATTAATTGGACACAAATACTTCATCAAACAGCCACAAAGCACAAAATTTTCTGTCTCAATACATTTTTTAGCCATGCTTTGAAGTTTCAAGATTTCTGTCCATTTAGATTCTCACAAATCCCATGGTTGACAAATACTCTCTCTGATCAAAGGGCATTTGAGGACAAAGGATTCTCACCCTCGCGGCAATTTTTTGACTTCATAAAATTTATTCTTGCCCTTGTAACAATACCTTTGTAAAATTTGAGTCATCAAAATCCTATGTTCACAAAAAGATAAAAATAATACAAGAATAATGAGTGTTTCACAAATCATATGAATTTTTTATTAATAATTTTTTTAAATTTTAAATATCTTTGTGTTTATTTTAGTCATAATAGTTTTAATTTTTTCAAAAAAAAAAAATTATGAAAACTTAACCAAACATAAATTGTACCATGTGTGAATTGCCAAGAATGAGAATCCTCTCCTCACATACCAATTACTAAACTAAAAAGGAAAAGAGCTTTTTACTTATGGAAATATGGTGGAGTTATAGAATAAGAATAGAGAACTTCGAACAAAGCAAAAAGATGGAGATAATTTGGAGAGAATTTACATACTCCATTATGTTGGCATAAAGGCCAATATATAGTCTTACAAGAAGAGAATACAAACAAAATAGAACTTATTGCATATCTAACTTATATCTTAATCTAACGAACTAGAGGGTACAGTTGGGCCCGTGAGGGCCCACCACAGGTTCCGTTTCGATAATCCGAACCGTTCAATCTGTAAACTTGTCGAGTACTGTATATTGGCAAAAACCATGTTGATCGGATATCGATAGCTATCTCATCGGATCAGATTTCTGTCAACTGTTTATTTGTTCACCGTTCATTTTTTTATACAAAACTGATTTGATCATGTAACTATCGATATCCGATCAACGTGATTTTTAACAGGTATATAGTACTCGACAAGTTCTACAAGATTATCGAAATGAGACCCATGGTAGACCCTTACAAGCCCAACAGTACCCTTCAGTCCAATCACAAACTGGAGGGAAGCCAACCCCTAATTATAATTGGATACAAATATTTCATCAAATAGTCAAGCACGAGATCTTCTTAGTGCATTTTAGTGCATTTTTTTAGCTATGTGCTTATGTTTTGAGATTTCTGTGCTGCTAAATTCTCACAAATTCTACTTTTATATTTTTTTATCAACTAATATATATATATATATATATGTATATATAATTTGTGTTTCTCTGCACAAATTTCAATCACTTCTTAATTTCTGTGTAAACAAATTTACACTCATGCATATTATAATCCCAAATAAACATCACCAATAGAAGAAATTATTCGATGGTCCTAAGGCATTATCATGTAGTGTTCTAAAAAAATTGGAACTGGTGAAAAAGATGGAATTTATAATTTTGTACTAGGATATGAAGAAACAAGGAGGCATGAAAAATAGTGATCGGCTACTAGCCAAGAATAAGCGATGTCCCTAAAGCACTTAATAATTTTTCACCGATGGGGTTCACTACTACTTTCTAGTGTTTGATTATAATTTTCATTTTTACAAGTACGTAATATAAATAGAAAAAATAAAATTATCATCTCTTCTACATTCAAATGAAGTCACAAATATTTTTTAGAAGTTATTGATAAACAAAAAATTTGTACAAATTATATACCAAAATAATGTAGTAGTGATAACCTTAAAATATACGTCACATTAATAGCCATTTGTTTATATAGTGATAGAACCTAAAGCATGCCAATTTTTTTTCTTTTTCTTTTTCTTTTTTGTATACGTCTAATTTTTATTTTATTTTTTATTGGTACAAAAAATCAATACAAATTAATTGGACACAAATACTTCATCAAACAGCCACAAAGCACAAAATTTTCTGTCTCAATACATTTTTTAGCCATGCTTTGAAGTTTCAAGATTTCTGTCCATTTAGATTCTCACAAATCCCATGGTTGACAAATACTCTCTCTGATCAAAGGGCATTTGAGGACAAAGGATTCTCACCCTCGCGGCAATTTTTTGACTTCATAAAATTTATTCTTGCCCTTGTAACAATACCTTTGTAAAATTTGAGTCATCAAAATCCTATGTTCACAAAAAGATAAAAATAATACAAGAATAATGAGTGTTTCACAAATCATATGAATTTTTTATTAATAAATTTTTTAAATTTTAAATATCTTTGTGTTTATTTTAGTCATAATAGTTTTAATTTTTTCAAAAAAAAAAAAAATTATGAAAACTTAACCAAACATAAATTCTACCATGTGTGAATTGCCAAGAATGAGAATACTCTCCTCACATACCTTTGATCGAATGCATCGCCAACCAGAGAATTTGTGAGAATCTAGAGGCATACAAATCTCCAAACATGACCATCTGGCTGGCTAATAATGCATTTAGACAGAAGATCTCATGCTGGACTGTTTGATGAAATAACTTTTTAAGGTAAGCTATCAGAGTCCAATTCTGCTTGGTTCATAAAACGGCACTACAAGAGAAAGATGAGAATGACAAGACCGTACCGTTGAATTGGAGGTGTTCCTTACATTTGCATTGGCAACTCACCCATAGATTAGAAACCACTCCCCCGAAGCTGCACTCAAAACTCTGTGGTCTTTAATTCAACTCATCATTTGGAGAAACAATATCGATCCCAGCATCAAGCGATACATAAAGCTAAAAGCTGAAAAGAGGTAATAGACGAGTCCAAATAGCCCATTACAAGAACAATTTCATAAAAAGATTGATTCCACAAAAAGAGAGACTGCAACATTGGAATTAAAGAATCAAAGAATGTACTGCTCTATTATTTTTCCTAAAAAAAGAGATGGAAATTGTACAATGTAGTTTGTCAAGGTTGGTTAAAAATAATGCTACCTTAAAACTACAAAAACACAGCCGCCACTTAACAACAGCAGCCTTTCACTATAACTAATATCCCTATAAAATTTATCACTCAAATACACTAATTTTTTTCCCCTATTTTCCCCCATTTACTTGAAAACAACACACAATCAGCGGAGCAGGCATCCAGAACTAGCAATCTAAGCCAAAATTCTGTAGCTCACAGCTGCTCAGGCAGCTGCTTGGATTGGTCCATCTGATCTAAAGTCCCAACCACGCCCACGTCCACGGCTCCTACCGCGCCCACGCCCACACCCTGCAACGATCCATATAGCTTTTTGTTCAAAAACTGAAATAGAAAACACTATGCTAGGAACAATGAACAAAATCTGTATGAATTTTGACAATTTTGTAAATCCAGATGAGTCCAGAAAGATTTTGCAGTATCCAACACGATGAATAGTTGATTTAGGCACCTCTGCAAGATTAGTTAATACAATGAAACAAAAATGCCAATCCGGATGATAATAATGGTAAGCATGAGATGAAATCATCTTTTAATCTTCTTTTCCAGGTGTTTTTGAACTTCATTCATCCTCACACACTTGGGAAAGTTTCTAACAGGTGGCAATTAGTTTGGAAAGCATAGCACACTCCCATTTAACTGTATGTTGAGAGACAAGGATGATGAAACTTTTGGGAGGAAAAAGAGAAGATATCACATTATCCCTTCAACACCACCACATACATAGGCCACCCAACCCAGAAAACCAAAAAAGGAGGGGGGGGTGGGGGGAGGACAATGTATGAAGCACCTCATACAATTTTTGCAAAAGTTTTGGTTTACAAGAAGGAAGATGCTAACTATTGCATAACGGACAGTGATTAATGTTGGCATGTGCAAAAAGTATATTGAAATATGTAGAAAGTGCATAAAAAAAATGTGTATGGGAATATGTAAAATGTGTATTGAAATTCTAACTTTTTTGACATATGTGGTTCTTAACGAACGGCCATTTAGTGGTCATTAGTAGGACCCTTCCAAGAAAAATAGACCTATTTCTGGCAACATATAAGAAAGGGGAAAAAAGATTGAATCTACAACGCTCAGAAAATAGTATGCAATTAACTCCAGCTGCAGCATGGAGGACATATTTCACCCCCAAGAAGCTTAGGAAAGACCAATAACAAGGGTCACTTGTGCGTGAGTATTAAACTTCTCACATCTACAATTGCTAATTAGGCATTTTGTTATTAATGTGCTTACCACAGCCTTGAGCAAGTGGTGGCCCTGAGCCACCATAGCCATTGTAACCACCCAACTCTTGTTGCATATCTCCACCACCATATCCTCTTCCGCGTCCATGAAAACCACGTCCTCTTCCCCAACCCCAACCTCTTGCTCCATACCCACGTCCACCATCCCAGCCACCATCTCCATTGTACTCTACCACTCTAATTAGGCATTTTGTTATTAATGTGCTTACCACAGCCTTGAGCAAGTGGTGGCCCTGAGCCACCATAGCCATTGTAACCACCCAACTCTTGTTGCATATCTCCACCACCATATCCTCTTCCGCGTCCATGAAAACCACGTCCTCTTCCCCAACCCCGACCTCTTGCTCCATACCCACGTCCACCATCCCAGCCACCATCTCCATTGTAGTCTACCACTCCATTGTTATCATTACCTGTCATAGACGAGCGGATCAAAAAAAAAAAAAAATTACCTACTGTAGAAGAAACATCATAACTTTCATATTCTTTGAGGGGTCAAAATAGAGGGTGCAAGTATAAAGCAATATGAGTAAAAACAGAACTACATCAGATGATCAAGGGTACAGAAATTAATCTGTCGGTAACACAAATGCTTCTCAACTAAACATTATCCACTTTAATGGGAAAGACTTCCTCAGCCATATCATATATCTTGAAAACCCAATTCCTCCAGCCAATGTGAATACACATTCTAGCTTGAACTGTTTCAAGCAATATTAGTTGATCTAGAATAGAGAGAACCACTCTTTCTTGAAATGTTTCAAGTCTCCAGCAATATTAGTTGATTTAGAGGAGAGAGAACAAGAGAACGTGTTTAATCATTCAATTAGAGACACATAAACAAGGAAAAGACTGTTATCAACTGTATCTGCTGCAGACAGTAAATTGTGTGGCTTTGCTAGATAAAAGCAAAAATATTAAACCAAATGTACTATTACAGCATCTCCAATGGGCTCTTTAAAAGAGGCTTGTTAGTCTCATCTTATTTTATGGCCTCCAACGGGCTAGCTACTACACTAGTCATTTTAACAACAACCACACACACACAAAAAAAAAAAATGAAAAAGATCAAGCTAGCTACATTTGAAGAGCCTTGGGAGGCTTTTTAAACAGTTGTGCAGATAAATAGGTAAAATAAAGAGTAACGTTGGAACACCTAGAGAAAAAAAAAAAGTTAGATAAAATAAAGAGCATTAGTTTTTCGTACTTTAGATAGTGAAAAATAAAGAGTGGCATTGGAATTGCTTTTAGAAACAAGAAAGTCTTCCAATGCATGGATCCCCCACTTCATGCTAGGATCTGGTAAGACCCCACTTCATAGATCAACTACAGTAAAACTTGACTTCAAAACAACTTATACATTTGATCTCAATAAAAATTTGACCAATTTGGTAGATCAAGTGCCTTGTTAGTTAACCAATAAATCTTATACATTTCAAAGCAATATAGAATTAGCCGTTTGATTGTGCCATGTGTACTAAGTGCTACACAATGGCAGCCCTACTTAGTTAAGTGTATAAGCTTATGGATTTTTATAAACATCAAATTAAGGGTAAAATTACACTTATCACCCAGCTTTCATTTTCGTTCCTCATCTTCTAATTGCAACAAGTCATCAGATGTCAACCATTGTTTCAATGTAGTCCACCCATCACTTACCATCAAATTCCTCATCACTCACTTTACCAACTCAAACTTCAGTGTTTGCCAACTACTAATTTTACCTAACTCAATTTGTAGATGAGATTTGCTCCTAGAAACTTCTTAACAGTCTTGAACTAGTATAAATGTGATGATAGCCCTTGTATTGAGTATCATCCAATACAAGAGGGATCTAGTATAAGGTGTCTTAAGTCTTGTGTGTAAGTCAATCACAAATAAGTGTGTTCAGTGTTGTGTAAAGTGATGTCAGTGTTTGAGTGCACTTTTAGAGTGTGTCTAGTGTATTATATAAGTTTAGGTGTGAGTGAATAAGTGAGGCGTGTTAGTGTGTGGTTAAAGAATTTAATAATTCATGATTAAACTATGGGCTTTAAAAGAATTTAATAATTCATGATAAAACTCTTTTCCTTGTTCATCTTTTGATTGTAGCACATGAAAAAGCCGGCACAGAACGAAGTTATTTAAAGGCACCATAAACATTATTTCCCAAAGCAAAACCGGTGGAATACAATACAAACTATGTTACCTCTGCCTCGGCCTCTACTCCGTCCTTGACTACCACGTCCTCTCCCACGCATATTAGGAGAACCCTCTAATTCCGCATAAGAACAACCTAATTATAAACATATTTCAAGGAAATAGAAATCAACAATTATATAATATTGTTTTACCTCCTTCATAGTCATATTCATTCCATGGTTTTACTTGATCAACTGGAATAGGCGGTTGGTACCTGCAATTTGGATAGAATATGAGATACTAATTATTAGCAACTCAAATGGGTCAGCTATGCTTTATCACGCTCCAAATCCTACATAAATCTAAAGGTTCTCAGCCATAAAGAGAATGTTGATCATACACTGATAACCGTAAAAGGAAACAGAGTACAAAGTAGCTGCATATCAAAGCCATACATATCTTTTGTACTCCTGTAAACCCCAAACAATTATTGCCCACACAACACCAAGAACATATGCACAAACAGTGGCCTCTACAGGCTTAGGACCTCGATAATTATCTCAATAATATTTAATATCACATATGTGATATATTATATATATACTAATGTAGCATGGACATAAGAAAAAAAGGGCAAATCCGAAATTCCACATAAAGCACGTTTAAGGCATCATGGAATGAAGTTTTAGAATGTTTTTATTACAATGCCAAATACCGAGCACTTTCCGCCTAAATTGGGCAACCTTCAGCGCAGGTGCGGCGCCGCCAGCGGGCAGCGAAGGCAAGGTTGCCGGCCGGCTGCCCGCCGGTGAAAAAACAAAATACGGGCCTAAATCTTATGGCTCTGATACCATGAAGAAATTTAATGTATAAAGAGAAATAGAGAATTGTATTATTGATTGATTGAATATTGATGTATATTACAATGATTCATGATTCCTATATATAGAAGAGGGTAGGTGAAGTGGAGGTGGTAGTGGTGTAGTGGGTTAGGTTTAGTGGAGTAGGTGAGGTGGTAGTGGTGTAGTGGGTTAGGTTTAGTGGAGTAGGTTTAAGTGGGTGAAGTAGGTGGAGAGTAGGTGGATTTTAACAATACATATCTTTTGTACTCCTGTAAACCCTAAACAATTATTGCCCACACAACACCAAGAACATATGCACAAACAGTGGCCTCTACAGGCTTAGGACCTTGATAATTATCTCAATAATATTTAATATCACATATGTGATATATTATATATATACTAATGTAGCATGGACATAAGAAAAAAAGGGCAAATCCGAAATTCCACATAAAGCACGTTTAAGGCATCATGGAATGAAGTTTTAGAATGTTTTTATGTCTTTAGCATTTATTTTAATTTATTGAATTTAAACTATGAGAAGCATAAATAAGAATACACTGCAAGCTAAACTCAAGAGTTTCAAACAATATGTATATGGCTAAGCTAAAAGACTTCGATTGAGAATAGGAACTGAGACGGCAATTTCTGTTAAGAAATTGGGCCGAACTAGGTATTAGTACCAAAGCAAAATACTCGAAGAAATAATAGAAAAATATATTAGAAAACTTCTTGAGAACTATACAACTATTCAAACTATTACATAAAAGAAAACCTATTTACTTGGTTAGGGTTTCATCAAAACCCTAGAAATAAGAGCCTAGCCACTCATGGAGGAGTGGGAAGAAGTAGCAAAAGAAGAAGCCTCCATGAAATTATCCTTGAAGCTTGAGAATTCCCTTTCTTCAAACCCTAGCCTCTCCTTTTTTCTAATATATTTTCGAACCCTAAGAGCAGCCTTTTGTTTTCCTTTTTATTCCCAGCAGAACAGATTTCAATGTTTGTGCACGGAACCCTAGGTGGGCCACTTGAGCGGTGGTGGGCCGCACGTGCGGTGAGGTCTGGCCACATGTGCGGTGAGGTGACAGGTTGGGAATTTTCACACTACTCGCATGTAAAATCTGCTTTTGCGTTACTTTTTGCTTGAATTTGCGTGTTGCCTGTCAAATCTATACAAGTGCACAAAACACATCATCTCTACCAAATAAACAAAATTTAAAGACTATAAATGTAACTTAAGCGGCCTCAATGTGATACCTTTCGGCCTACATCAAGAAGAAGATGAACAGTGAATATGTATCGGCAAGTATATGAATATATATATATATACTAGCATATCACCCGTGCAATGCACGAAATTGGATTTTAAAAAATTATTTATGATTATGTCAAACATATTTTTAAATTATTAACATAAAATATACGTAATTTTGAAAAAATATATATTGATGTTTTATAATTGAAGTAATAAAAATGAAAATTTACTACGTTTGTTCAAAAATCACTAAATAAATAAAATATATTATAACTAAAATCTAAATTGTTATAGGTCTTCTATCAGCATTCTCCTGCATTATCAACATGATAGTTAATATTATAACTGATAAACAACACATTTATTACATATTTATAAAATATTATAAATTAAAAATGTTATACTTACATATTATATTTTTTTTACCTTGTAAAAGGTATAGGCATTTTTTAGACCAATCTATATTTAAAACAAAGTTTATGCATAGTGCAAAATCTAGTTGTCGTAGCATTGTTGGTACAAGTATGATAAATACATAGGCACAGTCTTGGCATGATGCAATATAATCTTTAATCGTTCTAACTCCATAATCTTATAAAATTTTGGAATTATAACATTGTATTTGAAAAGGTAAGAATACGTTATTTATAATGAATTTTATAATTCCTATCTTTGATATCATATTCTTCAAATATGATGGTTGACATCGCAAGATAAACTCTGCATGTTTATCTTAAACAACGAGATTTATTGAATCAATACTATCTTTGACCACAATGTTAACATTATATCTAATAAATAAAAAAAACTTGTTAAAAGGAAATATTGTACCTAATAAAAAATTAAAACACTTATTAAGTTTGAATTATTATTTTACATAGCAATTATTTACCTAAAGAAAATTACTTTGTTATAATATATGTATCATCATGTATGCAGTGACGACAAACAATGTGACATCATATTTAACTTTTTGATAGCAGTGTAATTTTTTAATAAAATTACAGTGGAAGGCTTGAAAAGGGTGTGTAATTTCCTAATTACAGTGTATTTTTTTCTCTTTTTTTTCGCAATTGTAGCCTGTTATTTTTTAATAAAAATTTATATTTGTTTTAGATATTTTTTAATACACAAATTATTTTTTACAGTGTAATTTTTTTTCTCTTTTTTTTTGCAATTGCAACCTGTTATTTTTTAGGGATATTTACCAATAAATCCTATCTCACAAACAGTTTTACCGATTGGTCCTAAGGTTATTTCTATTGTTCTGATTAGTCCTATTAGTGGGGAAATATCTTACCAGTTGATCCTATTTCCTTTGTATAGTAACATTGAGTGGTCAATTATACCCTTCCGTGTGTGTGTCACGTGACATACATCATTCCAAGGCAAAAAGCATAAAGAGCCTTAGTGTATTTTGTTTATGTGGGGCACCCATTGTGTGTGTCACGTGACATACATCATTCCAAGACAAAAAGCATAAAGAGCCTTAGTGTACTTTGTTGATCTGTGACACCCATTGTGTGTCACATGACATATTGTGTGTCACGTGACACTCCAAGGTAAAAAGCATAAAGAGCCTTAGTGTACTTTGTTGATGTGTGACACCCATTGTGTGTGTCATGTGACATATTGTGTATGTCACGTGACACTTCAAGGCAAAAAACATAAAGCCTTAGTGTACTTTGTTGATGTGTGACACCCATTGTGTGTGTCACCTGACACTCCAAGGCAAAAAGCATAAAAAGCCTTAGTATTGTGCGTGTCACATGACATATTGTGTGTCACGTGACACACCCTCATAAAGAGCCTTGGTGTACTTTGTTGATGTGTGGCACCCATTGTTTGTGTCACATGACATATTGTGTGTGTTACGTGACACACCCTCATAAAGAGCATGCATCTAATAACATCTAAATGAGGGCATTAAGGTCCCTCAAAATATCCAAGGACTAAACGGTTTATTAGAAAAAAATTGGGACCAATTGGTTCATAAGTTTAATATTTGGGATTTATTGGTAAATCTCCCTATTTTTTAATAAGAATTTATATTTGTTTTAGATATTTTTTTAATATACAAATTATATATTTTAGATTTTTTATAAAAATAATTTAACAATCCCATCATTAACCATAGTGTATGCAAGAAGTTGAAAATGGTGTGGTAATAAATATGAGAGAAGTTAAAAAAGCTTGTGAGTTTGAAGAAGTCAATAAATGTTAAGGTTTTTTTTTTTTTAAATCAAAAAATTAGAAAATTAGGATTGGCATATTGGAGCTCTCACAAAACTTGTGGGTTAGAAACCCCATTTTCCTTATATAATATATAGATATGAAAAGTGAAAGGGCGCGGTCTTTTCGAATTTTTGGTGGTATATGATGGCTGTAACAGAGGTACGGTGCCAGTGGGGGCATGCCACGTGTCCCATGATTGAAGTGGTGCCAGAGTGACAGGTGAATGTGTTGGGCAACTGATAAGACTCCTAAGCACCGAGCAGATCGGAGGGATGGAGCAACGTTATTGGTTCGGCTGACTTAAGCATTTCTAGCTCGGCTGGAGGAATGTAATCCAATCATGCTCTGCAAATAGAATGAAGAGGCAATTGAGAGAGTAATTTCTATTAAGAAATTGGGCCAAACTAGGTATCAGTGCCTATGAAAGTTGGGCCGCATAGTGGGCTAAGAAAAGAGCTCAGGTAGCTCAGACCTGGGTTGATTGGATGATAAGCCGATCAGTGAGTTTAGGCTTAGCTGATAGAAGATGGTCGTATGGAGAAGGCCGAGCTAACTTTAGCTCGACGCAACCCATCTGATGATCAAGGACTACACAGTTTGGTCAATGGTAGACCGGTGTAATGTAGTTCGGTCAGATATTTACAGCTAAACATAGTGTTATTACCATCTCACTTGGCTTGCAGTGAGGAGAGTGTTCCAGGAATAAGCACTATCCTTTAGGAATGTGGTTCCTAGTAGGACTCTGCTAGGAAAGTCATAGTCCTACTCGGATTGTGCCACCCGAAATCTATAAAAGCTCATGACATAACCTATTCCCAAGTATTGCAATTCTTACTCTCGAATACACAGAGCTTTAGTGTCTATTGTCAACTTGCTAACTTAGGCATCGGAGGGGTTTCCAGTACACACCCGCTGACTAGCTTACGTTTGAGTTTTCAGGTGATAAGACGACGACGTTTGGAGGAGTGCAAACTTGATTAACAGGATTATACGAGAAGGATATTTCGTGCTCGTACAGGAACATTGAAGGCCATCATCCAATCCTTAAAAGGCTTATATTGATTGTTTTCTTCAACAAGAAGAAGCAAGTGGAATAGGACCACAAATATATATGTATATTGTTGTAGTTCTTGAAAAACTGTAAAAGGGCAAGATAAGCATATTTGTAAACATCGACAATATTGAAGAAATGATAAAATTCATGTTGTAGCTTAAGAAAGTATGATAGACCATAACGAACATGATTCTAAAGCTAAGGAAGTCAAAGAAAATGCTAAGAATGTGACTGAATTTACTGCACTTCACAAGTAAATGGGTGTTCAAAGTGAATTTATCATTCCAAATAAATTCAATGGAGTTGATGGAATGATGAATGGGTTAAACTTCTTCGTTTCTCATTGTTGCTTCAAAAAGATCAATTTGAAGGGTGGTTAGTCCAAGATTTTTGAATTATTATACTTCAACATTACACTCAAGGTCGAGTTTTTCTTAATGCAGGGGATAGGGAAAAAAATGGCCAATCCCTTAACCCTAGAAACCTTATTCTCTCTTTTAGAAGCCAACCCTAACAACTCTCTACAATCAAAACCCACTACAATTACTATAGTAGGCAACAATACTCCAAGGTTTCTAAACTTGTCCTACATTATATTTGAGCAAGGAGCAATATAGCTACAAGATCAGACGAGAAGGATTCACTTAAACCTGCATCCTAAGTAGTTCAGGCAAGGCTTTATTAAGGTTTACTAGATCTTCAGTATGTAAATAAGATTAAAGTTGCAAAGAATTCGGAAGGTAGGTTATCTGACTACAAGAGTTCACTTGTATACACACAACTTCTACAAAATCTGGTACTTGGGAACCGCACACATTACTAACCCCGTATGAACATTCAATAACACATACAAACTTCCTAATTAATATGGGACAGTGACGGTCATTAATGTGTCCATTCATGGACAAGAAAAAGCAAACTACGGACTGGTATTAGTGGCCTAGCAGCTCTCCATAGAGAGCCTAAAAAAGACAGCAATAATACTATTATGCACACACACATAAATAAAAGATGACCCTACTTGTACTAGCCCTTAATATGATAATATCTCCTATTATTAAATAATCACAATGTTCCATTGCTAACCTAATCTCAAGTTGGTTATCAAAAAAGAGAAGCATGAAAGAATATATATATATATATACAAACAAACAAACTTAAGGAAATAAACTTAGTAAAATTTACCCTGCAGAAGATGTAACCAACTCCTCCTTGGACAGAGTAATTGTTATAACTGACACATGGTGAGTAGTTTCTAGGCTGCACTAGTAAAAAATCAATCAGCCTAATAACAATCAAATTGGCTTGGCACAGAAGTATTAAATTAGTTCAACAGCACAAAAAGATTTTTTTGCTTCTTACAGAAGAAGGCCTTCTTCTAGTGGTTCCCACATGTCAGTTATATCCATCGAACCAATTGATGTGTTCTCATGGATACCAGCAATCCTTCTCTGATACAGGAAACTCTTTTTTAAGAACATATAATGCAAAGAAGACAGAGACGTACAGAATTTCGTTTTTTTATAAAAAAATAAATAAATATTCAACGATGGCCCACATAAACTGAACAGGGCTGGAAAAAAGACAAACAGATTGGCACTGATCTATTCACAACCTTAATCAATTCAGCAATCATCACAGTTTTGTTGATAGCTCTGCCCATGGCCTTTAAAACAATTTCATTGGATCCTTTCTCCTGCAAAAATTATGCCAAAATACATAAAAGGTAAGATAGAGTACAAATGACGAGCAGGCACAAGAAGTAATATTGTTTGTAACATGGAGAACAATTTTATCAATAAGTTCTAACATGGAGAACATGACCTCTTGACTGTGCAAAACAACAAAGGGACTTAAATTTCTGACACCGGCATTGAGAGACCAACTCAATACCATTTGGCCTACTAATTTGGTGGTACATAGCTTAGTAGCAGGAAACTCCTATGGGAGCCTCACTCCCAGCCCAGCCCCGCCCCACCCCTTTTATTGGGACTTTATATAATTGAATGAATAGATGAATTGATATATATGGGCATGCTTGTATAGGTTGGCTTTTGTTTTCTGAGAGATCAGTGTACTACTGTTGGATGTTTGTTTTTCTTATGCGGGTTTTTTAACGGATTTTTTTAACATTTTACAAGAATAATCTTTCAACTTGGTAACTGTCACCACTTTCTGAATAATTTGTCCAAGGTTTTGAAAAACGGTTGTAGGTAAGAGTTGTAGTAACTAGAATCGTGAATTTTTTTTTTTAATTTTTCGCACTATTTGAAGAAAACTTACCGATATGCATATTTTTTTTTTCATGATCACATTTATTGGGATTTAAAATAGATCTTAATCATTTTTTGTTAATTTTTAAGTATGATCCAATATATTTCATATTTTCAAATCACTATAAAATGAGTTTTTTGCATTTTATTTCTATAGTTAATGCTTTTAAGAATAATTGATTGTAAATGTTTACAAATTATGTTTTACCAATATCTAAACTAACTGAATAAAAAATATTCACAAAGGATTATAAAATAAAATTTGTGCAATAAATTAAAAAAATTATAAAGAAAAAATTCATATAAGATTTTTTTCTTTGGTTTGGATCACTTGAGTATTTTTTTTTTTTTTTTTTTAAACTTCCTTTTTTTTTTTTTTTTTTGTTTTGGAGAAAAATAAGTTATTCGGAATATTATAAGGGGATATAATGGTACCTCACGGACTGTTGGGGTACTACTACTGTTATGTAACACCGAAATAGCTATTACACATGTAAATTTTCGTCATACCGCTATAGCAGCAGTAATGAGTGGCGGTAACCATCACAACGATTATGCCATTACATAAGGATGCGATTTTTCTCCATTATCAAATCAAACTATATAAAAAAATTAAATATCAAATTACAAGAGTATCATGTTTGCATATCCACTGCTAGTGTGTATATAAGTATCTGGAAAGAGAGATAGACCTGAAGCAGGGTGGTAGCATAAGTAATGTAGTTCCTCATCCTTCCCTGAGTGGTTATACGAATCTCATTCTCGTTGATCGGGGTTTCCGGCCGAGGCTTCTCTATCCTCTGATACCGATCCATCTAAACAAACCCAAATTACAAACTCACTTCTATCCCAAAAAAATTGAAACCCCAACAAAAACCAGCCAAAAGGGTGCTCAAAAATCAGATCCGAAAGCAACAAAGCCAAAACCCAGAAACAAGTGTAAGAGTCTGGTGTTACCGTTGTATGGAAGTCTGAAAACCCGGTCTCTCTCTCTCTCTCTAGCTATGTGGCTTCTCTTTTTTGGGGTTTACGAGTTTTACCTGTTCTCTGCTTTTTCCGCAGAAAGAGTGCATTTTACAGAGAGAGAGAGAGAGAGGGAGGGAGAGAGAGAGAGAGAGGGATTTTAGCAGGGTTTAGAGCATCTCCAATGCACTATGCATATAATACTTGTTAGTTAAAATGCCTAGTGTGATTCACTTTTTTCAATTCCAATGCACTAGGCATATGATTAGGCATTTTGCCTCAACTCATATTCACTAGCTGCATGTAGCTAGTCTTCAACGCTAGGCAAAATGTATTCAATCATTAGGATAATTTCCCTCCATCTTTGTTGTTGACGTGGCATTCTATAAAATTAATAGTATTTAGATAAATAATTTTTTTTTTTTTTGATTAATTTAAGTCTGGCTAAATTAATTTTGTTTTGAGAGATTTTTTTTGGCTCTTTTGATTTTTTTGTTTTTTTTGAAAGAAAAAATGAAATGATTATAGTTTAGATATAATATTTTATTTTATTGGCTTATTTAAGAATTGTTTGGGATGTATACTTTTGATTTTTTACGACAAAAAAATATGTATAAAAATAGAGAAGTGATATGACTTAAAAAAAATATAAAAATATAAAAAAATATACTTTTTTAGTGCTAGCCAAACAATCTCTTAATCTATTTTGTCTTTTCATATTTTTTTAAGAAAAATGATTGGTGGCCACAATATACGCGGCTCAAATGGCTCGAATTGACCAAAGGGTTATTTTGGAAAGAAAAATGCTTGGGAGCACTAATTAGTACTCCCACTAATTAGGTAGCAGTGAGTCCCGTCATTAATGATGTGATGTTTTGGTCTTAGAGTTGTATTTTTTTTTTTTTTACTTTTTTAATGCATTAATGCTATTAGTGGTAATGTTTTTAGTGAGATGAATCATTGTTGTTTTGGAAATAACTTTTTTAACTCACTTTTTGATTTTTTTTTTTTTGATTAATTTAAGTCTGGCTAAATTAATTTTGTTTTGAGAGATTTTTTTTTGGCTCTTTTGATTTTTTTGTTTTTTTGTGAAAGAAAAAATGAAATGATTATAGTTTAGATATAATATTTTATTTTATTGGCTTATTTAGGAATTGTTTGGGATGTATACTTTTGATTTTTTACGACAAAAAAATATGTATAAAAGTAGAGAAATGATATAACTTAAAAAATATAAAAATATAAAAAATACACTTTTTTTAGTGCTAGCCAAACAATCTCTTAATCTATTTTGTCTTTTCATATTTTTTTAATCTCACTCGCTTCCAATCGTGTTGCCAAACGACAGCTTAATTATGTTATTATTGGCAATCTATTCTGATTCTGATTGGTTTTGAGTTTTTAAGAAAAAAAATATGAGTTTTTAATTTGCATTTTTAATTTTTAATTAATATTTTTACTTTTTAAATCTATTTAATCTAGATTATATACACTTAAAAAATATATAATTTGTAAAAAAAATTAAAAAAATACATAAAATCACTATATTTCCAACTTATATATATATTTTTAAATTTCTTTATAATGTATAAATATTTTATTTTTTTAAGTACATTAAAAAATTAGGTGTATCTAAAAAAAATACTAATTAAAACTCAAAATCAAACATTATGATATTTTCTTTATTTTTTTAATATAATAAATGCACATTCAAACTATCTGCTATTATGTAACATTTAGAAGATAAGATAATAAATAAAATTATATGTAATATTTTACCCCTTAATATTATTAGGACTCTACAAAATATATATGTATTCTTTGTATATATGATATATGGAGACTCATTTATACGAGAAGTTATATATTATATCGGACTTATTGGGGGTGATACCCATCTTAAAATGTAGGGAATAAGACAAGAAAAAACGAATTATATGATACAATACAGTTGTAGGACATACCATATATACAGGGCCGGTCTTGAGATTTAGGGGGCTCAAGGCGAATTTCGAATATGAAATCCCTGTTATATTAAAAAAGAAAAAAGTTCACGGATAAAACGATAAGTTAAAACAATTTTTTTTTATTTGTTTGTAACCACAAAAAAATTTACTTGCACATATAATCATTAAAATTATAAATAAAAATTTACTTTCATATATTAAGATAGGAAGCAATCATTACAAATAGTCAAAAAAAATAAAAATTTGGTTTTGTTACTTTATAGTTTAGCAATATGCAACTTACAATTGAACCACGATCAGTTCAATTGGGCCTATAGTATTTGAATTTTTTTTTTTTAATATCTAAAACACAAAATTATATTTGAGAGCCTCTTTTTCTGTTCAAATTTAAAGGCCTAAGGCGCAGGCCTTTCTTGCCTGTCCTCGGGGGCGGCCCTGCATATATACATATTTTCTATATTTCTAGTGATAAGATGTGATGTAAATAACTATCACATTTTGTTTTTATGATATGTTGCCTAATTTTCTTTATTTTACATTCATTAGAATTATCAAATCAACCATGTGACATTTTTGTTTGGAGTGTTTATTTTTATTCATATCAGTCAAAATTAGGGGTGAATAGTGGATATATCGATCCGTCAAAACTGACCGAACTGAACCGATCCGTCGCATTTTGGATGGATGCGTGATGACGAGCGGACGGTTGCGGATTGATTTTTTCCAATCCACCAATTTGACGGACGGATGGCGGATTTAAGATTCCTTTGGCTGCAACCGAACCGCCAAACCGAGAGCACCCCTAATAATTTATAAGACTTTATGTTTTCAATTTGTTTAAATATTTTGTTTGTGTTTTCAATTGAAAAAGAGTTTAAATATTGTGTTGAAAAAAAGTTTTCAACTTGAATATATTTTTTGAATTAAAAAAAATAAACGTATTATTTATTTATATTTTTTGATTTTTAAATTTAACTCTAAAAATAATAAATAGAAAATATGATATATGATGGTTGATTTTTGTTTTCAAAAACATATAGAGATGTAACAATACAGAGACATACAATATATACTACTGTCATGTTCATGGTTTTGGTGGTTTGAGTTGCTATTATATTTTAAGAACCACAGATTGTAATACTTTATGTGGATGAGTCATATGGATGAGTCATGCAGTGATTGTGATATTCTAAAGTTTCGATTTTCTTTTTTTGGATGAGACATACAGTGATTGTAATAGTTTTTTATGTCATTGACTGTAATACTTTCTTTTCTTTTCTTTTTTTAGGAAGTGCACAAGTTGAATTATGTTGAAAATTTATAAAATCTTAAACCGCTAAACCGATTCGCATCCATCCACCAAACCGCCAATCTACTCAATTCACATCCGTCGGATTGGCGGACGGATGCGGATTGATTTTCTCCAATCTGCCAATCTGGCGGATTGGAGGTTCTGTGGCCGCAACCGACCCGCGCCCACCCCTAGTCAAAATGTTATCTAAATTTTCAAATAAATTCAGCATCTTCAAACAAATTTGGCAAAAGTATTGTTGGTTCTTCTTAGAGTATCTCCAAGGGGATAGTTAAAAAAGGTTTATTAGTCATTTTAGTCAATGTAACTCTAATTTTGAACTTCAATAGGCTAGTTACTGGGTTAGCTACTTTACCATCCTACTTTTTTGGTGATTACAATTGAAGAGCTCCAGAGGCTCTCCAAACAAATATGTATGTATATATCTTGGATTTTTGTATATTCATGTCTTGGATTTGGGATTTTATATATTTTATATATGTATATGTGTATGTAGTAATTTTATATATTTTTTTTTAATTCTGTTTGATGAATTACAGAATAACTTATTTTGTATTTTATATTTTTTTCTCCTCATTCTACAGGTTTTGTATGTTTGTATGGGCAAATTTATTATTATTGCAAAATTATATTAGTAAAATATCAGCAATTAGTATTTTTTTGTTTTAAAAATTAATTAAGTTAGTTTGAATGATTAGCTAAAATAAAGAATTGGATTTTTGTATATTCATGTCTTGGATTTGGGATTTTATATATTTTATATATGTATATGTGTATGTAGTAATTTTATATATTTTTTCAATTCTGTTTGATGAATTACAGAATAACTTATTTTGTATTTTATATTTTTTTCTCCTCATTCTACAGGTTTTGTATGTTTGTATGGGCAAATTTATTATTACTGCAAATTTATATTAGTAAAATATCAACAATTAGTATTTTTTGTTTTAAAAATTAATTAAGTTAGTTTGAATGATTAGCTAAAATAAAGAGTGTGGTTAGATAACACAATAGTTAAAGTAATTAAGTAAAATAAATAGTGTATTTTTTTCGTACTTTAGTTAGTGAAAAATAAAGAGTGGTTGAAGTTGCTGACTAGACAAAACAAATAAAAATTAAAAATTGACCATAAAAACAAGTTTAAAAAAAAAAAAAAAAACACGAAACTCTAAACTATGGCATTAATAAAACTTAATGATTTATTTAGATGGCGGGATGAGAAAATTAAATATTAAAATAATTATACTTTTTTATTATCATGTTTAGATTATTATAAACAAATAAAAAATATGCGACATAGGAATACAAGTAAAATTTATTTTGTTATTTTCTATTTTAATGAGAAATCTCAATATCATAAAAAAATAAATAATCAACCAATTTATTTCTTGTAAAATCTAACGGCTTTCGGTGAAAATGAAACCCTATAAAATAAAAATACAAATAAAATCTTGGGTAAATTACACTTACATCCCTTGAGATTTTGATTTAATACATATCACCTCCTGATTTTTAAAAAATTACACTAACCCCTTTATTATTGTAATTATTTAGACGGAATGAAGACATTAAACTTATGCGCTCTCTCTTTTTTTGCTTTGTTTTACTTTATCTTTTTCTTTTTCCCTTTCCTTTACTTTTTTTTTTAATGTAATTTCTTCTATTTTTCTACTAGGAGTTCTTACCTTTTATACAAACAGGAGGATTTGTGAAATGAGACTATTAATCACAAGGGTGGAAATATAATTTCTAAAACGTTGGGGGTGGGTAGTAATTTGACCAAAACTCAAGGGGGTGTCAATGTAATTTACCCTAAAATCTTTTGTCTCCATTTGTCATCATTTAT